TGGCTAGATTCTTATGAGTTTTTATAATCATGATGAGAGATCCATTTGCTTTAAAAATTTCTACTTTGGTTCGCTACCACTAGAAAGAATTATTTTCAAAATCTTCATAAGTTGGAGGGTATGTATATATATAATATTTAAAAAAATTTTTAATTTAGTGTGTTCTTTCCTTCGATATGGGCTTTTTTTACTCTACTGGGCTGGAGAGTTCTATTTCATCTTTCTGATGCAACTGTTCTATTGGATAAGATCAAAGTCTTTGAAAATCTACCTGCTATCACAAAAAGAAATATCTGAACTAAAACTTGCATGCATAGGTATAATATTCATGGTAAGACTTGATTCTTTTCGGGCTTATTACATGCATATATGTACTAAAAATTACACTTTAATTACTTTATCATAAAATAATCATTAACACCTTAATGAAGGACGATCAGTATCAAAGAGAGGCGAGTTACCTGTGCATTATTGGCGAACGAAATGCTTTACCTATCGCAACACTAGGCATGCTTTCCAGATTAGCGTGTGGATAGCCATAAGAGTCGGAAGAACGTTAGTTTCTATCTTCATTTTCAAACCGATAACAATTTTTTAAGCTTGGAAACTGTATGGGACTCAGAACTGCATTAAGCATAGTGATGCTTAATTTAAGATTCATAAAAAATTTTAAATACGTTTTAGATATTCTAATGCGAAAAATACTAGGGCAAGTGGAGTAATCGGTATTCATCATTCCTATAGATTGGTGTTTTCTTCACTGCAAGCTCTTGACTGCCTACACTACCAGGTTACTATCTCCACTGTATTTTGAAGCAATTAGGCTGAAAAAGTGATCATTGTGTTTCTCTTGAGTAGCATTTCTTGCATACGTGTATATATTACCTGATTTATTATTTGTGTTTACAAAAAGAATCGTAAGAATCTTCATTTGTAGACCTGTCATTTCAAGACAAAAATAGTCATTTGAAGAAAAAAAATCGTTACAAAACATTTCTTACCTAGTCAACAATATACCAATTTCGAAATTTTAACCTACATGATAATTTGTAAAGTGAACTTAATCTTACTGCTAGAACAATATGCTAACACTAACGTATGATAGGGCACAGCTTGCAGCAAGAACAAACAGTGATAAACAAGTAAAAAGAGGCCAAATCAAGACTGATAAAAAAGCCTTTTTTTAAAAAAAAATTCTTGCCATCATGTCACCTCTTTTAACAATGGATCTATAAATATCTAAAACAAATTTTTACTTCAATCTCGCCATAGTGACTTAATATTATTAATATCTTATGAAATAGAGCAGATTTAAGCTCAAAAATTATGACTTATTTCTTTTATTAAAAACAAGATTATATGTTTGAAAATATCGTCTTGCAAAGTAAACTGTAATAAATGGCTGTATACTTTCTAACCGTAGTAAAGTAGAGCAGGTCAAGAGCTCGAGATTGTTGTTTACATTTATATTGAAAACACCATCCATATATATACTAAACTGCAATGTTTCTTGACAATGGAGAAATATGCTGAGGGCAAACGAAGAAAATAGTTCCCGGCGCGATGTCTGTATTTCGAGGTAAATTACGCATTTCACAATAGAAATATGATAAGTTATCTTAACCCACACATATATAGCGTTAATTTGCTATAATTTTCTTAAAATTTTATATATTTTCAGATTTACGAGCGGCGCATCGCGGAATGGTATCTTTATTTAGTTATATTTCTTCTATATAACGACTGAACTTATTTCTCCTTCTTCCTCCGCCAGCCGTGACGTCATTGTCAAGAAACTTTGCATTCTAGTATAGTTTGTTAGCGGTAAGAACTCCCCCCGCCAATCCTGAAGCCGTCTACTGCTATGGAAACAAGAATAGCGCATTAGGGTAGGGGCAGCTTTTCTTCACTCTACGGCAGTGTTTCCCAAACTTATGACTTTTGTTTACCCCTTTTAAATATTTCGTGATGCTGTGTACCACTAATAAAAAAATGAATGCATTTTTTTTATTGTTTTATTATATGTCTCACCGGAATGTGCATGATTTAAGTTTTATTTGAAACTAATTTATTGTTTATTTATCTTTTCTCCTCGCTCGTACGAAGAACGGGAATTCAGCTCGTAATGANAATAGTTCCCGGCGCGATGTCTGTATTTCGAGGTAAATTACGCATTTCACAATAGAAATATGATAAGTTATCTTAACCCACACATATATAGCGTTAATTTGCTATAATTTTCTTAAAATTTTATATATTTTCAGATTTACGAGCGGCGCATCGCGGAATGGTATCTTTATTTAGTTATATTTCTTCTATATAACGACTGAACTTATTTCTCCTTCTTCCTCCGCCAGCCGTGACGTCATTGTCAAGAAACTTTGCATTCTAGTATAGTTTGTTAGCGGTAAGAACTCCCCCCGCCAATCCTGAAGCCGTCTACTGCTATGGAAACAAGAATAGCGCATTAGGGTAGGGGCAGCTTTTCTTCACTCTAGGGCAGTGTTTCCCAAACTTATGACTTTTGTTTACCCCTTTTAAATATTTCGTAATGCTGTGTGCCACTAATAAAAAAATGAATGCATTTTCTTAAAAATATGTTTATTTTTATTTTTTGGTATAAAGTTTTGTAAATAAGTTTATTTGCATCAGTGAGAAGGATATTGTTTTTGCTGTGATAACAGTTCATCATAATTTGGTTCTCTTGTGATCAATTTTATTCTGAGATGCAATTCCACGTACAATAATCTATTTCTTTTTCGAATTAATGTCCACGAAAGCTGAAAAAGCGACTTCACATAAATATGAAGTTGGAAAAGGCAAAATATATTTCACAACTTTTCCTATTAAAACTGGATGCATATTTTGCATTTGCAGTCAGAATGATGTTAAGAAACACTCCTCGTGTTTATTTTTCAAGAAGGATAAAAATTATATTTTATAAAAATAATCAAAATAAGTAAAATTTATTACAAACTTTTACTGTAAAAAAAAACTGCACAAAAGTTGAAAATCACAAGTGGCTGTTGACACTACTCATTATTAACTGTTAACTCTGCAAAAAATAGCCAATAAAAAAAATACGTAATCGTAAATTTTCATGGCTAGCTTTGTTTTTAATTAAGTTGCAAGATATTTCGCATAAGAATGCGTACACCCGCTAAACTGTTCCCGTACCCCTGGGGGTACGCGTACCACACTTTGGGAAACACTGCTCTAGGGCAAACTCAATAGAACGAAGAAAAAGATTCCCTCTCCAACCCAATGTCCTAAACAGTGACCACGCACTCCTACTTAAAATAGTTATAGCTCGTTACCAAAGTCACCATCACGGGTCCAGACGAATGGCTAGGGGAGTTCTTACTTTAGACAAACGGTATACATAGGTATACAGAGGAGGGGAAAAAAAAAGGGTGAGTCTCTAGGCATGAAACCGGTTTTCACCCCTGATGGTGTATTCGAGTGTTGCAATCGCGAATATTTGTCACAAAAACGTTAATGGAAGAAGCAGTGGATGAAGGACCTGTGTAATAATACTTTAAGATTAACTTCAGATTTCCACACGCTATTCACTTAAAATAGAATGATGTTGTGTTATGACTAATGCCACTTGTCAATATCAGCATGCCTGCTATGGGATTCCAAGCGAGTATTGAAGGCAGAATTGCATTTTTTGTCTTTCAGTGGCACCATCTATGGCTAAGAGACACACACACGTCACAGCCCGTTTTACAGGGAGGATCTATTCATTTATCCACAGATCGTTATTTTGACTTGAACTTGAGAGTGAGCAATCTGCAATTCAGTATCCCTAGTGGTATTGATTTGTTATGGGAACTTGAATGACTTTTTGACCTCTACAGATTTAACGTGCATCAGTCATCATTTAATACATGGGGATTCGCACCTACTCTCTCACGAACACAAGCCCAACGTTCTACCAATCAGGGTAGTCTGGCCCAATGTTAAACATAATCCCATTGATTGAATTTGTAACCAAATGAACGGTAATAAAGGATGTTTATTGAGTTTTTTACTCTCGCTTAAGACAAAACTTTATTCAATGTACTAAAAAATTTCACAACTGATTTATATTTAAGTTTCCGATATATTTAGAAAATTATTCCAATTCTTTGAAGATAAATAAATTAAATCTGGACTACATCGGAATTTTCCATTGAGTATACTACCATTACATTACTAAAAAATATTGGGAGTACAAATTAGTTCGGTCCGTTTTCAAAAGATGGCTCTGGCTGTTATGAATGTGTCGTAGTGACAGCTGGTTTCGGTGGTTTCAGAGAGGTTAGACATCTGTCAATAATATTCAGTTTATGTCGTTTTGAGTTTCATACAAAAACCCGGTTTTTAAATTTGCTGAATATGTCAAATTTTGTGGTAACTAAGCAGCATTTGCGGGAGGTCTTGTGTTTCTGCTTTAATTTTAAGGAAAGTGCAGCTGAAGAGCATCGAATGCTTGTAGAAGTTTATGGTTACGTGACAATGCTTCAACTGATAAATCATGTAGGGAATGGTTTCGACGTTTCAAGAATGGTGAATGGAGTTGCATACTGAGCTGCTACAACCTGGCGATTCCATTACGGGCGATCGGTATAGGCTACAATGTTTATTCGTTTAAGCAGTGCATTACGAGAAAAACGGCCGGAATACGAGCAAAGACATGACAAAGTTAATCTTCTGCATGATAACGGTCGGCCTCATGTCACTAATTTCGTAAGAAATTATTTGGAAACTCTCAAGTGGGATAGTTTACCGCACCCACCGGACATTGCTCCTTCTGATCACTGGTTGTTCCGACGGATGCAGCATTTTGCAGATCACCGATTCACTTATTTTGCAGAAAGTGAAAATTACCTCCGAACTTGGATCACCTCAAAAGACGAGACATTTATTTCGAGATGGAATTCGAAAGTTGTCCGAGAGGTGGGGAAAAGTAGTAGCCAGCGATGGACAATACTTTGATTAATCTGTTCATTCATTTTGTTCTGATATAAATGCAATTTTGACCACAAAAAAACGGATCGAACTAATTTGTACTCCTAATATTTGTATTTTTTACTTTTTTAAATGAGGCTCTGTACTGTCCTACCTCTTTTTTCTACTTACCTTCGAAACTTCAAGTTTCTAAGTAGTATAGATATTGTGCAAAAAATGTTACGTCCAGCAAAAATGGTGATAAAGTATTCGCAAAAAAAGCAGTTAAAATTGAAATAACTTTCAAGCAATATTGGGGTTTCGATAAAATAAAAAAAATTATTAAAATATTAGATTGATATTAGAATTTACAAAGAACAAATATCGCTTGAAATTTACCATCTAGATAAAGTCTTATTTTACAATTCAAAATTAATATGCTTCATATATTTTTCACGATGATTATATTCGCATTAATTACAATATAAATAGTTGTATTAATAATGACTATTACTTATTTTTCAAATTTCTTAAACCGTAAAAATCAATAACATTAATCTAAATATTTCCCAGATAAATGCTCCAGGAGTGCTGTGAAAATTTTAATTCTATTGGGTGTGTTAACGTTTTATTTCTATTAAGGAATAGTTAGGAAATATCGGATTAAGATTGTTAAATGGTTTTTTATTTCCGATGAAGCAGGCGATATAGACATTATCCTAACGCCGTACAGAGATCAAAAGAAAAATACAGAAAGAGATGAAATATACAAAACATATCAAGAGAAAATCATCCAGATACACGAAAATCAATCAGAAGCTCAAGATTAATTATTGTTAATCAAGATCGCGTTCAGAAAAGAAAAAAGAAAGTTTTTTTTTTTACCTTTTCTTTGTTAAAATTTTTATTTATTAATTTACTTTTTTTAACATTTCTTTCCTTTTACTCACTGAATGGACTTAATTAACTCATTTGGAGCTGTTTTAAAAACATAAACTTTGAAATAGTTTTAAAAATATGCCTCAATATTTAAAATTTTGTGACTAAAATTCCATATAACACGTTTCAATAAACTAAAATGATTAGTAAATAGATAACTGAACTGCTCGTGTGATTTTCCGTGTGCTAAAATGGAACTGGTAGAATCACATTAAATAACTAGAGGCTGATTTACGAAGGCTCTGCTATCACATTAAATAACGCTTTTTATTGTAAAATATGCTATTTATATAACTGTTATCCGTTACATAGTTTTAGTAAAGATAAACTACGCTTTTACTGTGTGCCTGTAAGATTGTATATAGTACTACTTTCAGACTTCGAATAATTTTCACAATTCTTTTACAGAAAATATTGTGAAAAAAGAAATGAGGCACTTTATTCTCCCTTTGTTTCCTTTAGGCAAACATGTTTCGTTTTTGGGTTGTAGGTCAAGCATATAAATGGATCTTGAAAAAGATAAGAAGAATGCATAGAACACACATGATGATGTTATTAGATTTGAAAAGTGGATTGCTGGAAAAAATTGTTACCATGCGAGAAATTCATTTCGTATTAATGGATAGCGTTAGAGATTTTCGCATCAAACCTGCCTTGTTTGCTGCAGTGCGTGCATTCATTCTTTCTGTACGCATCACTTTAGAAAGGATACATTTATTACTTGGAAGAGTCGGCTACAAATTAGTAAATGAGATGTATAAAAACTATTCGATAGGCCCCGCACCACTCTTGGACTCTGAAAATGATATATATGTTGAGCAAGATGATGTATAAATGTTGATCAATAAATTGTTTAATACTTTTGCATCCAATAACCAGTTAACAAAATATAGGTCCAGATTATGTTTACTTCAGAATTTAATGTTGCAAAAATAAATATTTATTTTGAGAAGGTTTTTTCCAATGGTAAAACTTTTTGAAAGAGAATTACTACAGTCAAACCCCGCTATAGTGAACAGAAATTTCGGTCCCTTGAAGGTTCACTTTAGCGGGGTTTGACTGTATTTTCAAGTAATTTAAACTCTAATATTGCTTTCATTCCATATCGATGTCATAAAGTGGGATCAAACAATGATCAGAAATATGTTTGAGGTCAATGAGAGAAAAAGAATTAAAAACTAAATAGACGTTCGCATATGAGTAAAATGTACTTACTAGATATTTTGAGCAAATTGGTTACTCTAATTTTGATAACGATGCAGATTCGTTAAATTTTAAAAAATAATTCAGTGTAATTTTCTCAATCAATTCCTCAAGAGCATCGGGTTTTTTTGAAAAGGATTTTACGAATATACATATAGATATATTTAATAAACGTAGAAAATATAAGGGCTCACTTTCAGAAGAAAACAAATGATGGCAGAAAAAGTGATTTTAAGTAGAAATAATATAGCTTTGAAGAAACTTACGCATATGTAAAACGTATTTAAAAAAAGAATTAAAACTAAGTTTTTTTTCTTTTAATATTCAGGAAAACATAAAATTGTAGCACTTCTGATACACTAGTATGAATTTGACAGTGTACCTCTCAGAGTTTTATTTTTTACAAGACACGTCAAAAACCCAGGGCAAGTTTCATTTTAGACATTTCATTAGATACTAAATCATTCACAATACTTGCATTATATCCTACTATATTTGACTTGTATATCACATATATAAAAAATGTTAGCAAAACTAATAATGGTTATCTTAATACTTTATTAGGTTTATATTATAACTATGAGTTGCTAATCATTATTCATTTAAATACTGATTTTACTTTTATATGAAACTTGAGGCAGACTTTTTAGGTCTGATCCTCAATATTTGTTATTAATTATATTCAGAGGAGCAGAATATGACCGCAGGAACAAGCCTTTGGGGGCGATTCACGTTGCCACAGGGAAATTTTTGGTCCAACAAAATTTTTTTTTATTAAAAAACATTTGTGTATTTATTAGTTCAAATTCCACAAGTTAATAAGTGGGACCTTAAATTTGAGTTCAATTTTACTGATTTCTAACACATAAATTATGTAAAATCAAATGAATCTTTCTCGTAAATTTTGTTTTCCAAAATTACCTTGGAAGTTAATAACATGTAACTAGGAAATTTATTCGAAAATATTAGAACAGCCTTTATTATGTCTATTTTCTAGACAGGGTGCGTAGCCAAATCTTTGAATCAAAAATAAGCACTTTTTAAAAACTTTTCTAGCACTTTACAAAAATTTTTAAGCACTCAAGAAATTCATATTCAATGATATTGAAAAACAAAAACTTTTTATAAACAGTTTCAGCGTTAAAAAAAAAACCAAAAAGAAACGGGCGTAAATCGAAACAATCAGTACTTTCCCACATCACCGAGTGAATTCAACTTGACCCTGAACTCAGAACAAAAGTACCCTTACCCCCTACGTCAAAAAAAGTAAGTAAAATAAACAAGAACAAAATTAAAAAGAAAAACATTTCATAAGGATCCGATATTTTCTATCCGAATTGGAGCACTCGGGTTTCAGTTTCAAGTATGCGCAAGTCATAACGTGGGTACGACATGAAGTTCGCGTGAATGATTACATAGCTAACTCTCCATTTTTCGTGAAATGCATGGGATCCACCAGATATCACTGAAGGGAAGGAAAAAAAATTATTCGGAAAAAAAAAGCACTTTTAAAAACGAAATTCCAAAAACACCTTTAAGTACTTCTTACAAACGTTACGCACCCTGCTAGACTATGGAGTTCAGCATTGATCGAAAGTACAGTTTCGATTTTTGTTCTTATTCACACAAAACTGAAAAATTACCTTAAAGGCTTCAGCACTCCTATTTTTTTTGTAATTGCATGATTTAGGGAAAGGAGGAAGATAATGTTTTTCTTATAAGCTGATAGTTTTTACGTTTTTAATTACAGATAAGATACATTTGTATTTTGCACATTTTTCATTCCCCCACAAATGTTACTTAAAAAATGACAAGCAAAATTGGTCATTCCTCTTGGAAGAAATGCAAATTTTCCCTCTTTGTATATTAAATCTGTTTAATTGGACCACCCAAGAAGGAATCTTTTCACTGAGCTTGTGGTTTTAACACTAGACCTAGACATTTCAGTTAATGACCATGAGCTATAAAAAATGAAACAAATTTTGAGTTAATTTTGTTTATTGCAAAAACATTGAATTAATACAATCTGACAGGTGGTCCCATTGTTGTCTTGACTGTAAGGGAGCGAATATTTTGCCAATTTTTCTTCAACAAGGAGACTAAGAAATTAATAGCCAAGTTCAAATTTTGGGCCAACTCCTCAGAAGTCATCTTAACGTGACCAATGGCAACAGCTAAACACAACACCTAGAAAAAGAAATATATATTTAGCCTATTTCAGACATTGCATTGAGTAGTAAAGTAGGTAGCAGAAATTAAATCCAGTAAATTCTAAAAATCAAAACCAAAGCTATTTCTATAATATTCAAAATTTCTGATCAAACGAGAACCCAGTTGAGTTGACTGCATCAAAACTCTAGGACTGTAACCAAAACTCTAAGAGAGTTACAATGGTAATTAATATAGGGATATATCCACAGTTCATTGCACACACAACACAATGACCTTGGTAAATATCCCAACATAAAAGTTTAGCTCATATATATTCTGACATCTCATGATAGAAACAGGCACTAGTTAACAAAAATAACACATGAATAATAAAACTATTCCTACAACATTTAAATATTAGTGTTAAACAGAGCTATAAATACTAACAACTCTTTTCTCAACACTTAAAATGGTGAATATAATGGGAGCTCAGAAACAGCCTCTAATTTTCTTCATGAAACTAAGACATTTAGAGATCATCACAGCAGCAAGATTGTTTTATTACACTAAAACAAGCTCAGAATATTTTTTCTCAACACAAAACTCAGACTATTGAGCATTCATCAGAGCCTTAATTAAACATTTTAAATAGAATCGTTAGTTAAGTGTCCTCAATCTGTCATATAAACTTGCTTACCATTCAGAAGAAATTTGCCAACTACACTCTTGGATGATTAATATATTCTTTTAAATTGTCCTGTAGTTTGTTTGCCTACTGACTTAAATAATTTAAACAAGTGTATGCATTTAAAAATATTTTAGGCCCATTTAGGCAAAAAATGGTGCAAATGCACTATTTTATTATACCTCTTGGAATAACCTGCATACCCAGCATAAGGAGAGCAGGGAATAGAAGAGGAAAACAAATAAAAGTGAAACTAATTATGATAATTTTAAAATCAAATGCTCTCAGTAAAAGATAGCAATCATAACATATCAGATAATACATGCATTAAAACATCATAGAGCAAGTTCAGGACTAGAAGTTCAACATTTTAAATTGCATCTAAAAGAACAATTTAAATATTCAAAAATTCTGATACAATTGCAATATTATTATATGGATTGATAGCTTTGAAAAGTAGATAAAAAAAAAGCAAAACTACACAACTCCACCACTGCATACAAAAGCTGTTACTGCAAAAACACATTCCTAAAATCCTGATTAAGGGCTATTAAAATTAGCCGTAATAAATTAACTATATCCGTCAAATTACAGTACTTTTATTGTTGTTTTTTAGACTGATTAAAAATCCTAATGATTGATGATTTTTAATGCATCAATACTGCAAAAACTACTGCAAAATCAGGATAAAGCTAAAAATAACTATAAAACATTTTTATTCAAAAATATCAGGACACTTGTAACTTTTGAAATCTCTTGATTCTCAAGACACTCTTCAATTACAATGATAAAAGACCATGCCATAATTAATTATCAATGTAGATGAAATAATTATGAATATTGAAACAATTCAAATCCATATTCTTATTACAACAATTAATGTCCACAGTTAGGGAAGCCAAGCATGCCAAAAAAGGACAGACTTGGAGCAAAACTGTGCCAATCTTCATGATACATAAAATAAATGCAAATTATAATTTTAAAAAAAGCGAAAACATACCTTCTTCATTTGGAACTTGATGGTAGCCTTAACTTCATCAATCTTAGCCATCATGGATTCATTGTGAGTAAGAAGGGAAGGAAACTTGCCAGCCTTGTTTAATCCAGGGCCCAAAAGCCTGGGGATCTGCTTGATCAAAGATTCAGAAGCAAGGAAAGCATCGTACTTCTTAGCTGCAAAAAGAGCACTAAATTTTAAAATCAACTCGCAAATATGATGAAATATTTATAGCAACATTCTCAGGGTTCATACAGAGATCAGAAGAAGAAATCCAAGGAGTCCAAAATTTGAAGGACTTAAAATTTTGACTTTGTCAAACAACTTCATCAAGAAAAATTAATAAAGTTATCACTTTTACACATAAATACATTTTCCAGTTTCAAATATTTAAATAAATCTTGTTAAAGTACACAAGTTAAAGATAACATAAAAACCTACCAATCTTAAATATTTACGTTTGAATAGATAAGAAAATCTAAGGCATTTTATACAACAAAAAATCACAGTAAATTATTAATTAAGTTTAACATTTACAATTAAAATTATTTGCTGGTATTTTTTTCCTCTTACTCGTGCAATTCGTGCAACTATTAGATTTTGACAGCTAAGTCATATAATTTAGTTTCTCTGATTGAATAGCAAAGTCATCAGCGTACTTAGTAAGTCCATCTATGCAACACAATAATCTAAGGAGTTTCAAAGGATTAATTTAGAAATCTAAGTAGTTCCGAGTACTCCTCGGAGACTTATTTCCAAGGAGTATAAGGAGTCTGTATGCACCCTGCATTTTTGAACTTGTCTGGCAGTTAATTAGATATAGGAAGATGACACTACCTATACTACTCAAAATACCATGGTTTTTATTGTAGCACACTGCAGACATCAACACAATATCTATTATGCTGGAAATACTAACACAGGTGCAAACAGGATGAACTTTGAAGTTTTATTATTGAACAAATCAGTGATTTTAAATCCAACACAATGAAATAACATCAGTTCACCAAGGTGAAAGATAATGATACAGCACTTCATAATACAAATCACCATGGTAAGGTACAATGAAAACTGTGCAAGGAATCTTAGGAAATGAATGGTGCCCATTACTAACATAGACAAAACAAATTACTTATCAGGGATCTGTCTAGGTTTTTCTGAGAGGTACCTATTTTGTGAAAATTAAGACATAATTTGNAAAATTAAAAATTATATTGAAAAATTCAACACAAAAATATGAATTTATCATTTCTTACGGGATACAAAAAAATAAAATTTAAGATAAAGTATTTTGTGAAAGTACCGCTAAATGTTAGTAAATTTGGTCTGGACAGACACCTGACTTTACAATACCTTTATATAGCAGTTAGAGCTGAATTCCCTATCTTTCCATATTCTCTTAGGTGCCACTGCCAAGCTACAATGCAATTAACTTTTGGCAGAATGTCCACAATTGCAGTGAATATTTATGTGCTTCTTACTACTCAAGTTTCAGAACTATAAATAAATATGTCAAGTAGATAACTAAGGTCAATTTTATTTAAAATCAATCTACTCAACCTACTTGTTATTATAGCACTCTGATGACCCATTTCATTATTAAATGATCTGGAGGGAATTCAGGTGCACTATTGTCGACAGCAATCGGAGAGCTTTAAAACTGACTTAATCCAAAATAGCCTTCATACAATTTCTATGATAATTGTCAGAATGAAATCCTTGAAAGATTTAAATTAAATCCCTCACTATCATTTTCATCTTACTTTAATATTGCACACAAATAGGAACTTACTTTTATATAAATATAAGTAAGAGGGTTCTGAGTGCCTACTTACTACAAAAAGCAATGGAAAACATTGAAACTGTATTTAAAGAAAAAAAAAATTTTTTAATACAACACAACAAGCGTAAGCAAAAATCAATTAAATAAAATCAATCCTTTTAAAAGGATAAGAGCAGCAATTTAACCTTACACAATCTTAAGAAATAAAACAAATCAAAAATTGTCAGGCAGATAACTAAGATTAGTTTTAGTAAAAATCAATCAACTCAACCTACCATTTCTTATAGCACTCAGACGACCCATCTCATTACATAATGATTTGGAGGGAATTCCGTTGCATAGGAATACAATGTTCTTTTGATTAAAAAGAACTATTTTTTAAAAGTATAAGATATATAACCAATGTAACAATGAAGTACAGCATGAAACTAGTACAATTTAAGCAGTACAAAAAATTTGCTTACAGGGCTTAGCACAGGTCACAGTCGAAAAATGTGTAGAAACATCGATGGCTGGAGAAATCAAATACAACTTTATATTATCATTTTAGTGATCTGCCATTGAAATTACATATTTTAAAGATAGTGACATTAAGTGAGAAAAGCAACTCACACCAAGACCTGTGCTTAGTGTAGCACTGTTTAAATACTTCCTGTTATCATTCTTAACTATCACCTCAAAAAGTATGAGCAAAAAAAATTTAATCAATAAATTTGTAGGAAAGAATTTTATGAAAGTACAACTGTGATAGTTCACTATTATTAATCCTTTCCATCGATATTGCACTAGATTAGGAACCTACCAGTGTATAAAACACAAGCAGGAGGGTTCAAAGTGCTCGCTTAATTCAAATGTCTAAAAAAAAATCCAACCTACATAATTTTTTAACAAGCTTTTTATTCTTATTCAGCTTCTTTAAAGCTTCTGCGTCCATGCATTCAACATCATTTGCCTTTGCTTCATCACAATGTTGTTGATCACCAAGTACACACACCTTAAATTTAGGTCTTGGAATATTCTTTAGCCTAAAAAATAAAATTATCATTCGAGATTTTATATAAAAAGAATTACAGCTCAAACTATCAGTTTTCAAACTAAATTGAAGTGTATATTGGGATACTCACATTTGAGGATCAGGGTACATGTAATACATTAAACCAAGTAACAATATTCATTATAACCACAACATTGTCTAATGTCCTTTGTTTAAACACACTTGTCTCATGTTTTAGTGTTCTAACACACAATATTGTTTTACAACATTAAGTCGCAGTAATCGTCACACGAGTTAGGTTTTTAATTAATTAGAAGCAACCTTCCTATCTCGGATTTATGAGAAATTCGAATTATCTACTTCCAAACCTTCATCTATTTTTTTTCTAAAAATAAACAGCTTAAAAAACAAAGGTTACAATAGATATCATTAAAGTTAAGAGGCCTTATAGTTACATTATGTGTTTGCCTATATCAGTAACTTAATCTTAATTCAGATGCCTGAAATCTTAAGTCACTATACTGGTATGCCAACTTATTTTGCAATGTATTGTACAGGTCTTAAGGTCAATTAAGTTATGTATGACTAAGGATAGTGTAAACAGAATAGTTTAACTAATTTTCATACATCAAATCGATAAAATACTTGAGATATATATTTCTTGGTGAATTAAACATCAAAACCATGATCTGGTTGAACTTTCCACAAGCATGCCCAGACATCTTCACTAAGGTTAACAATAATTAAATACCACAATTCAAAGTTTCAAAGGTTTTTGTACAAACCATATTAAGAACATTTACAAAATAGAAAATATCTAACTGGTTGCTATTCATTTCATAAGAATTCAGAATTATTCAGGGATGAAAGTACCAGTTAGCAAAAAAAAAAAAGCTGAATTCTACATAAACACAATCAAACACTATGAAATTAATAAATGTATGGAACTTAAAAAAGCTTTGAAAAAGATGAATTCAAAGTAAAAGCTTTTAAAAGAATTCTAAGTCTCTTTCAATAAGACAAAGTTAGATCAAGATTTAAGATTTATAAAATGGAGCAGAAGCATTTATTCAGTGAAATTTAAATTTTTCCTAATTATAATTTTAAACATTTTTGACCACTACTATATTAAAGAAAATTAAGCATTATCTAAGACCTAATAAGCAATAAAATTGTAAATTCAGTACCATGTGGCAGAATCTCAGCGTCTGTCACAAAACGTTACAGAATTTTTGCAGAAAGATTTTCTTTTTTGAAAAGTGAAGCTTTCTACAGAAATTTAATCATACAGGACAGGGTATCTGCTACATTTTAGATTTTCAAATTTATGACTTTCCATGACAAATTCCTAGAATTTTTCACAACTTAACGAAGTTGCTATTTTCTCTGACAAAGGCTCTAGAAATTTAAAAAAGCATTACNAAGATTTTTTTTTTAAAAGTGAAGCTTTTCTACTGAAATTTAATCAAACAGGACAGGGTATCTGCTACATTTTAGATTTTCAAATTTATGACTTTCCATGACAAATTCCTAGAATTTTTCACAGCTTAACTAAGTTGCTATTTTCTCTGACAAAGGCACTAGAAATTTAAAAAAGCATTACAATAACATTCCTTGAAATGATAGGTATAACCAAAACTGTTATACTCTGCATCGTCATATAGATTTTAAATTTTAAAAACAGGGTAAAGAAAGAGTTGAAGCAATAAAACATACAAAAGCAAATAATTGTTTTCTTCAGATTTAGATTCTAAAGATACTTTCCTTGTTGATCCGACAGGAAAGAAATACTCCCGATTTTTCTGTTCTCATTTCGGAATTTAAAAAAATTCGCCAATAACTGGCTTGCTTCAGCTAAAATTTAAATTGATAAAAGAAAATAAATAACAAAAATTCTGAAACCACAGAGATAATTCGCTCTAGAAATGTTTTTCTCTCTCATTTTTTGAAGAACATGATAAAAACATTTTATAATTTAATAAAATATGATTGAGTGGGGATTTTATATTACCATGAAATGGGAGGGGGATATTTTTAAATTCAAATTTAAAAATTAGATTTTTCAGCAACCTAAATTCATGATTTTCTTTAAAAAATAGATAAGATCATGACATTTCATGACAAATTTTGTTAAATTCCAAAATTCATGACTTTCCAGGTGCGGGGGATACTCTATGAACATAATATGTGAAGCATGTATCACATTCTGATGTTGAGCTCAATTAATGCAGATAATATTCGGCAGTTATTGATAATGATTTCCACATGGTTCTTAAATATCCAGAGATATTTCAAACATCTTACAATAGTGCTACAGAGTTTTGTCACAGATACCTTGAAAAAATGCTGCTTGTTTTATAATAATGTAGTAAAACTTGAGATAACACAAACACTGAGAACTTAGAAAAAAGTATCAGCTGGTAAGAATCAATAAATACAAGATTTTGTGTAAATAAAATTAGAACTTTCGATTGGCAGAAAATTTTGACTTAGTATAAAATAGCGGTTTCCAAAATTGCATGAATTAGCAGAAGAATCACATGCCTGATTAAAAGAGAGTAAGAACAGCTTCCTCCTCTTTAATATCTTAATTAAAAATTTAAAATTAAACAAAGAAACAATTGTGAGTCCCTACTCAAAAATCCTGAAAATTTCCAGAGCAAAATCATAATTGGCGTATATCCCAAAAAATTCATATCTTCATAAATTTAAATTTTCNTAATGAAGATAAACAAATTTGTGAAGGGTCCGATTAAAAGAAAAATCATTTTGTGAAGGGTCCGTTTTTAAGTTAAAATATTTTGTGAAGGGTCCGTTTTTATGAAAAGATATTTTGTGAAGGGTCCGTTAACAGGCCCTAATTTCATCTAAACAGACCCCTGATATGACTAAACTATTTACAGGTAATTTTAAGGCCTTAGCATGGGCTCTGCATTTTAATTTAGAACAGTTAGCTTTCACCTTTATCTTCTGATTGTTACTAACAGTTTTAGTCAACAACTATTTTATTTAACTAAGAAAGCTCAAAAAAAAAAAAAAAAAATTCAGTAACATCGTCCATACATACTTTGTGTTCACAACGATCAAATGCGTGCATATACAAACATGGGAAAGACCAAAAATAAGAACTGGCAGAGTCAGGATATGAAATTATAATGCACGGTTGAACAAAATTAAACAAGCAAAGCACGAAAGAGGAGATCCACAGATCAATGTCTTTCTGCATAATTCATGAGGAATATCAACATGGAAAAGAAAAAATCTCATTATGGAAAGGAGAAAATTTAGCACTTTTAAAAACACCCAAACAAAAAAGCACCATTAAGAGTTTTTAAAAAATGAAAATTAAAAATAAACACCTTTAAGTACTTCTTAAAAAAGCTACACACCCTGAAAAATCATATGGATTTCAGTAGCAATAACTAGAAATTCTATTTTCAAAAAAAAAACAGCAATATTGTCATGTCAAGTGACTGATAAATTCAAACATTTACTATCTTTTTTTATAATAATGTAGTTAAACTTGAGATAACACAAACACTGAGAACTTAGAAAAAAGAATCAGCTGGTAAGAGTCAATAAATACCAAGATTTTGTGTAAATAAAATTAGAACTTTTGATTGGCAGAACTGCAAGAAAAGTTTGACTTAGTATAAACTAGCGGTTTCCAAAATTGCATGAATTAGCAAAAGAATCACATGCCTGATTAAAAAAGAGTAACAGCTTCCTCCTCTTTTATATCTTAATTAAAAATTTAAAATGAAACAAAGAAACAGGAATAATTGTGAGTCCTACTCAAAAATCCTGAAAATTTCCAGAGTAAAATCATAATTGGCGTATATTCCGAAAAATTCATATCTTCATAAATTTAAATTTTCAAAACTTATTAATATATTATAAGAAATTTTAAAATATATGCAGCGTAATTTAAATGAAAAAATGATTAATCACATTTACTATACTACCAGGAAAACTATTTACAAATGAAAGAGACGGCAAGCATAAATTAATCGCAGCTAGTGAAAAATATTGATTTTTCTGGAACACAATCTAAGATCTGAATTTACAATTTTATGATTCACCAACAATTTTTAAAACACAATAACAGAAAGCTTCGACACCAAATCAGTTCTCCAAGGTGAAAGATCATGAAGCATCACTTAAAATTTATTGATTCATCATTATGGTGTCACATTAACAAAACAATCGGAAAAGTCAAGGGCAAATCATAATAGGTCACTCAGCAATTAATTTATTCTATAACCAGGGGTCTGTCTAGGCTTTTCTGTCAGGTACCTATTTTGTGAAAATTTGGACGTAATTTGTGAAAAATTAAAAATTATATTAAAAAAATCAACACAAAAATATGGACTTATTGTTTCTTAAGGGATACAAAAATGAAATTTTAAGAAAAAGTATTTTGTTAAACTACCGTTTTTCCTAAAATTGAATTTGTGAAGGTACCGCTAAGCAGTAGTAAATTTGGCCTGGACAGACCCCTGATAACAAAACATGCTATGTTTTCAAATTGCACCGATGGTTAAAATATTTCTAAGCATGAATTTTAATATCTTCACGAATGCAATAGCAGTTACAACTTAAGCTACTTTTATTCAGATTTAAATGAATTATCAAAGCTTAACAAAATTTTATTGTGAAGGCACTTGCCCAGGAACTGAGATACAAACATGCCAAACCACATTTCAATTAGAAACCAATAATATTTAGAGTAATTTTAAACTTTACCAACCAAGAGAATAGTATAAAAAGATATTATGGCTGCATTCAAGTAAAAACTAGAAATTTTACAAGGGGAATCTTAATTATTTATGAGCCAAGAGGCTTGCCTAGGTTTGAGTGGATCCTTTTCTGGAATGCATGAAGTTGCAAAGAATATTGTTTTGCTACAAATCACACTTAAGAAGTTTTCGCGACAGGAAATTTTAATCAGTTTCAGTACCATAATTCAGTTCTCCAAGGTGAAAGATCAGTGTACATCACTAATGAGAAATTTTCATCATAAAGGTACAAGTGAAGCATTAAAAGTAAAATGTGATAATGAATAAACAATACCAGTGCTGGTTTAATGGGTCATAAATACACAATTATTTCGCACTTATTTCTGCAAAAACAAACACACGTGTAATATTACTAAAATATAAATTTTTAATTTAATATTTATGAAGTTGGATTTCTATTAAAAATTAAGTGTAAGTTGTAACTAGTTCTTAACATTGGTTAAACAAATATTGAAAGATTAGATAAATATCTACTTACCATCACTGGGATGCAGTTAGATACAATTAACGGAAGAAGCAGATAATATCTACTAATTCCTCCCCAATATTTAAGACCCTGGGTGAGGGGTCCGCTAAGAGAATCTTAGCTTCCTGGATAAAATAGTCATGCTGATTTTAAAAATCTCAGTAATAAAGCATTAAACATACTATTTTTGGATATTTCAGACATAATTACTTTAGAAATTTAGACGAAGTTAGACATGAAAATGCATAATCATTATCAGCAGGACTAATTTAAACAGGTAAATCAGAAAATTCTTCATACTTGACAGTTCCAGAGAAACGTTTGTCCTTTTGGGGATCATAATTCTTCAAAGCAATTTGGAGTTCTACTGTTTCAAGGAACTTTCTGGGCTTCTTTGTGGCATTATCTAGGCATGTGTTCACACACTCATAGAGTGTATCTCTGCTAATTTTTGAACTGAAAAATACATTAAAAAAATATCATAGAATTAAGAAATGAATTATATTCGAACAAAAAAACTATTATGATAAACTGGATTACAATTATAGATGATGATTAAATAAGATTGCCATACCTCATCCTCTACAACACACCGCGAACACAAATCAGAATGACACACTCCAGCCAGATATCCGATCGTAGTAATGAAATTTAACTGTGTTGCCACATTGACATACAAAGCTCAAACGAAAAGAGAGTTGAGTTGTGTGATGGAAATGCGCTTGTGCGTAAAAGGAACAGTTCTTGACGCAGCAAGTTCTACGGTTTTCCGTTTGCAACACAAGTGCAAACAGTGTTTCTTTCTTTGCTTGAATTCACGAATAGGATTTTTTTCAGAATCTTTACTTTAGTTTAATGAAATAAATAATCTCATCCTTTTCATGTTAAACAATGTTCTTTCGCTTCATTAATCATAATGTAAAATAAAAGCAGTAAGTTTTAACATAAATTAAGAGGTATTATTAATTCATCTAGGGGAGAGAAATAATTATTTATTGGCGACGGTCTGGGAAACATCCCGGAGGATGATCCGAAGACATGCCATCACCCCAGACCTTATGATGTATCTAAAATGCCTAACCCAGAAAGGAGAAATTATATTTCTTCCTTACAGCGCACGAGGAAGATTTTATTGCATATCAACCCCTGAANGACTGATCCAAGTGGTCACCCACCCGCACACTGACCGTAGCTAGTGATGCTTGACTTCGGTGATCTGCTGGGAACCGTGGCTTAACGATCAGTCCACTGCGGGACCTCGAATAATGAACTTATGGACAGGAACCATCTATTGAGATGCTCGGCTCTGCGTGGGGACTCTGAGGTGAAGCGCTACTGGAGTGCCCGACATCTGTTAATGAGATAGTGACTTTTTCTCTTACTTGTTGTTCACCTTTTTGAAAGAGTTTGTCATTTTCTTTTGCCATTAGAAATAAAATTTAAAAAAAGTTTTCCCGGGAAGCTGGCAAAGCTGGACCAGATTTATAAACCATGATTTGAGGACAAATCAATGGTGCATCAACGAAAATAAAATAAATAAATAAACTTAATGAAATTTATATTTTAAATTGCTCAGTTGGTAATTGTAGTCAGTTAGATGCCACACAACTGACAAAGTAGTTTGCCACACAACTACATAAGCCTTGTTCATTCTAGGACTCCAGTTTAATCTGTGAATTGTTTAATAACTTTTATAAAGTTTTTTTGAAATGACATACTTTTCTGTGAAAGTTTTTACCTGAAAGAGTAAATGACACGAAATCTTGAAACATTAGTCTTTTAATTAATGAGTTACATTAAAGAAAATAACAACAATTCTGATTATATTTCTTAGATTGTTCACCCCTGTCTTAATAATCACACAAAACATATATAGAACAGTTTAATAAATTTTTTAGTCACCTTACATGAACTATTTTTTTTTTATCAAATCTGTTTAAAAAAAATAAGAGCCATTCTAAGATTCTGATTGTTAGCTGCACCAACACAAAAATGACTGAATGTCAACAATAATACAAGCTTCCTATAAAACCGAAAGAAATTTAGAAAACTTCCGTTGTATCCCTTCGCTTATGTTATCATGCGACTTCATATTTTAGGAAGTTTTATTATTGTAATGTGTGTTTAAATTTACAAATTCTAACTGATTGTGAACCTAAAAACATTTAAGAAAATTAGTATCAAAACATAAATAAAGTGTAAGGTTTGGCATGTTTTGAGTGTTATCCTTTACTTGGTTTTATTTATTGTGTCACTTTGGGATATTACTCACTAGTTTATTATATTTCTTAATTATTTTGAACTAAAGCACCTAAAAGCTAATAACGAAAACGGACCTTTCCGCCATTTTTAGTTTCTTCGTATAAAAGATCATCGGTAATTTCTCTTTGTCTTTACAATCTCTTTTCTAAAAAAATATACAAGACTTTTTTCTCTTTTCAAATTGGAATTTATATCATTATTATGGCTTTTGCTTAGAGTTGATTTCTGCTTTTGTTTCACAACAAAACGTCTGTATTAACGAAAAAATTAAGCAATGAAATGAAAGTTTAGTTTTCCGGATACAGTTTTTATTTCAAATTTCAGGAAGAAATACAAATAACGTTATTTTTAGGAATTTATTACTCATGAATTCGTTGTTCTTTAGCCAAGAGTGCCATTTTTGGCTAGATAAGCTAAAATTAAAAGCGGAAAATTGCTATAAGCAGAATGCGATTTAATTGAGGTAAGTTAAAGGAAAATGAGAACTTGTTTAGAGAAAAAATAAAAATTTCGAAAATCACGGTCAACAAAAGTATAAAATAAAATTCTTCAAAATATAATGAAAGGAAAATCACAAATATGGATGAATGTAATATCCTTTTTTCCATTTGGAAGGAAAGGAGAAAATATTACAATTTGATAAACGAAGACATTATATTTGAAAATACGTTTATGCAGGTAACTACCATTTAAAAAAAATTTTTTTTTTAAATTTATTCAATCAGAATTAACATAGAAATGAAATAAAGGAGATACCTGCATTTCATAAATTTTCTACATACTTCATTTTAAATTTTTTTCCGTTTAGTTGTCAAAAATTTAAAAAATTTCTTCAAAATATTAGTATATTTAACAAGTTATGTAATATCTATTTTTTTTTTTTTTAAACTGTAAAATCAATAATGGGGATTTTGAAAAAAGCCTTCGGATCAAAAATCAAAATGTACAAAATAGCAGGTTACAATGATTGACTTCCTTAATGTCTATTTTTAGAAGCCTTATTAAATATCAAATCAAAATTAATGATGTGTCGCGAAACATTTAAATACGTCTTCGAAACCTTACCGATCAGAATTAAGGAAAGAGAGATGAAAGAAAAAACTTTTTAAATGCAGGAGAAAACTGAGAGGTGATTATCTATCCCATAATCAATCATGTTTTGATGTTTCTAATTCCACCTCTATTGGTCACTCGTCAGACTTTGATATCGTTTTTATTTTAACCTCACTTAAATATTAATGTGCATCCCTAATGTGTGTATAACTTTTGAATTCCATTTTTGTCACGAGTTGTAATATATATTAAGAAATGATTAACGAACATTCTGTAAATTTATTAAAAATTTTCTTACAAATATCTGATTGAAATTTGTATGAAAAAAAGAACTTATTATTTTCGGAAAAATGCCATTAAGCCCTTCTCTGTCAGCGTTCGACATTTTTATGACCGTATGGTCGCCGACGCATGACGAAGAGAAGAATTGCATCTTCGAAATTGAATTCGTCTCTTAAAATCCTGCGATTATTTTTGTATTTCTGAATATTGCTAAGAGATGGCGCCACTAGACCCACTTTCTTCACAATTTTCGCAGTGAAATTTACCGCCTTCAATTGAAATCAAAATCATTTTCTACTTTCTGTAATTTCACTTTCATTATAATGAACGGTAACACTATAGTGTTACCGTTGCATATAATCTGTAATAAAATGTTTCAGTTTTCTGATAAACGTGATTTTTACGCCCTGATGTCCAAGACTGATTGTAAAGCTGTTCTAATGGTTAGGGTTAGAAAATTATTTTCCAAAGTATCTTAAAGCAGTAGGGTAATAAATATGTGTGTTATTACAGGGTATTTTTATGATAAAACTTGTTTGCATTGCAGGGAAATGTGGAAATCAGTGGGCGTGACATCACATATTTCACCACCAATAGGTCAAGCAAAAAAACTGCTTGCGGGCAAAAATGTTTTGCACTTTAGGATTAATGTTCAGCAATACAAAAATGCTTTTTATGGGTCGGAAATTCGAAAACAAATCCGACAGAAATGGATTTAAAACCATTTAATAACAACTAATTAACCTAATAGTTAAGTAATTATATCATAAAAAAGTGTTTCTTCGGAATAATTAACACCTAAAGGTCAATAAAGTACCTTTCATACATAAAGAGCTTTTTACTTATGAACCATTCATTCTATTGACTCTTGTATAGCCTCATTCCATTCAATACGAAACAATTCCTCTCTTATATTTAGATAGCCATCAGATGCGGAACAAATACAAATTTGTATTTTTTGTGTATAAAACAAGTATAACTTCTAAACTATTAGTCCAATCATTTCCTTCAGTTCAGGTTTAAAAAAAAAAAAAATGCGTGGTATATAATGCTTCACTTGAGGAAATTCAATTCTCCCCCACAAATAATCACTCCCATTTCCCTCAAGAAAAAAAAAAAAGGGGGGGGGATGCCCCAAGGAGAGTTTTCAGATACAATTTAAAATAACGTAACAAAGAATTCTATTCAAAAAAATCTTAGGTATTAATTTTTCGAAAATTTTACATTTACTGGACTGTTTACAGATACTGTTTCTTTCCTTTTTAGCAAACGAGCGGATACCGAAATTTGTGGAAAACTCAGATAGGTGAGAATAGACTAAATACCTCAGTTCTTCTTAAAAAGGATAAGAGGATTTAGAAAGAAAGGAAACGAAGTGGTGTTTAGTTAATCAGTGAATCTGTTTGTAAATAACTAAATAAAACTAACTTACAATTTATGAAACACAAAATTTTCTAAATGAAATTTTAATAATTTTCGTGTGATTATAAACGCTTGTTAGTCTGGAAAAACAGGATCTAGGTCTAAGATAAGGCCTCATTTAATTTTTTTTACGAGAAGTAAAAGTATTGCGTTACACAGTTTTTAATAAGTTAACTTCAGTGCTTAGTTTCGTTATTTACAATTATATATAGTCTATGTCCATGGAAAGAACTCCCCTCGCCATTCGTCTGGAGCAGTGGCTGTGACTATGGTTACGAGGTTTGACTATTTCACCTTGTGGTGTTGGATTAATATTTAAGACACATTTTGCTCGGGTCGGTGAGAGAAAGGGAATCAGGAGAGAGAGAAGCTCCACTTTTGACACGCGCTCTTTCTTGCTACAGACGGCCTAAGACTTTGTGGCGATGGGAGTTATTTCTATAGACAAACTTTAGTCAAATTTTTAAAGAGTAATAGTAATTTTGATTTGATTTGACACCATGAAATTCGCTTTGGTAAAAATATTTTGCATCCATGAAAGAATATTTAATGATAAAAAACCAAACTTTGCACTATAATTAAATTCATTCGCAAAAAATAATAAAAAATTTCATTCGAACTTAAAGCATAAAATACTCACAAAATAATACTCTTATTAGCAACATGTTTTCCAGTTTAAAAGAGATATTTACACTTTTAAACGGACACTTTC